CATTCATTCATTCATTCATTCATTCATTCATTCATTCATTCATTCATTCAACTTGAATTATAAGCTGCCGTTTTCTATTCAAGCCAGACCAGCATCTGAAAAGGGTGTGCATATGCACATGTCTATAATTGGAATGAATAAAATCAAAATTATGTACTAAGGTTATTCATATTTTGAGGCAACCCGTCCAGAGTTTTTGGAATCTAAATAGTGCAACCTATTGCAGATGAATGCTGTGCTTGCTCATGTCATCACTGGTTTAGCTTCTGTTGGCTGTGAGGAGGTGCAAGGAGAAAATGCAGAGTGCTGACTGCAAGATACCCAATGCTGCTGCCATCTATTGCCTATTTGCCTCTAAGCTGGTTTCTGAGATTTCACAAAGTCTTATTACTGTCCAAAAATGTTTGAAGCTGAACCTTAACAGTCACGGGGACTAGAAACATGAAGCTTTTTTGTTGTTTGAATGGAAATGTTGAACAGTCTGGGTTTGCAAAGTGGGATGGGAGATGTTGCAGAAACAGCTCTTCCTAGAAGCTGCATCTAAAATACTTAGTCTTCTTAAAAAAGAAAAAAGGTCTGGCTTGGATCTCAAGGTTGTTTCCCTCATTGTCAGTGGTTTGTATATCTGCCCAAACCTGCCAGTGAAAATCCACCTGAATTGGTATTTGCATTGGACTCCTCCTCCTCCTCCTCCTCCTCCTCCTTTTCTTCTTCCTTCTTCTTCTTCTTCTTCTTCTTCTTCCTCCTTCTTCCTTCTTCCTTCTTCCTTCTTCTTCTTCTTCTCCTCCTCCCCCTCCTCCTCCTCTATGGCCATGTCCTTAATTCTATCTGAAGCCAACAGGCTGACATCGGGTGTGAGCTGGACTCATTACATGGCACACAGCTATATCATCTAAGACCTCACTGCTACCTCCCAGCATCTCCTATACATCTGCTTAAGATGAAAGACGGGAACTTATGTCTTCCCTTATTTCTATCAACCATATCCTCTCTGACCACACATTTCATGGTGCTGGTGAAGAAATAACAACACAAAGAGGAGGAAATGAAAGGATTTAGGATGAAGGCCTACAAATGGTATAAATAAAAAGTCTTTTGGCTCTTCACTATATCAGAGAAGGAACAGCTTGTTACTGTGACATGAGAATTCAGCCAACACAGATTTCTTCTATTTTTATATCATGCTCTTTCTAGAGCCTACAGACAGCCCACACACACATGAGCTCACTTAAGGTTTAACCTCCTCCCTCTTCTGGCAGTGGAGAGTCATTTTAGTATTTGCTTTGCCAACCCTCTTCTCACCTGGGATTGGTGCAAAGCTTCAGCTTCCTGGTGGTTCTTCTCCATGACACCCTCATACTGGTCACGGATCTCACCCAGGATTTTTTGTAAATCAGTGCCAGGCATGGAGTCAACCTCCACATTGATAGTGCCCCCCAGACGCCCCTGGAGAGAAGCCACATCCTAGAGGAGGAAAAAAGAGGGTTCAGGGTTGATTAGTTCACCTCTATAGGAAACCAACCAAATGCCATCAGGGGAAAGAGATGGATGGAAATAGACAGCAACCATCAGTGTCACACCATATTAACTACATGAAATTAAGTAAAATTGTCACAGGTGGGGCCTGCAGAAAAATGCTGCATTGGGAAATGAAGCAATGGAACAGCCTGCCCCCTGGTGTCATGGGTGCATCACTGGAGGTTTTCATGAAAAGACTGGACAGCCATTTGTCTGAGATGGTCTCCAGATTCTTGCCCTGGACACTGGGTTGGACTAGAAAAGCTCCAAGATCCCTTCCAACCCTAGCATTCTATGATTCTGTGATTCTACAAAATAATCCTGAGCAGTATTCCGGTCAGTCAACCACGTCTTCTTTTATGTTTAATTTTATTTAAAATGGGAGGGTAAGCAGAAAACTCAAACACAAGCAAGCAAAGCAAAATGGAAAGGAAAATCAGGATTATACTGAGGTTCTACAACATTTTGAATTTGATTGTGCCCTGGGGGGCACAAACAGCACCTGTCTGGAATGCTTTAAAGTCACTGCATCTTTTCCCAGGATTATGCAGCTGACTCCAGTTGCCACAAGTCCCAGGAGAAGGATGGCTGCTTGAACTATAATTCTATAGTCTAACATCTGGGTTTCTCTTAACATAAGGTTTAACAGTTAAGTTATGGAGGTATGATTTGGATAGATTGATCTTATTGATTAGATACAGTATATGGACATTTTTCACCTTAACTTATATTTCATACTGCTCTGATTACTGTGGTTGATACTCATACTAATTTGATTTTAATAATGATCTATAGTTTTAAAATGACTTAAGGATTCAAATATGTAGAACTAAATTCACATTATTCTCAGAATTTATACTTAATTTTTTCAGTCAAATGATGCTTGTAAATCTCTTGTTCTATTTACTTTCTGGTTTTCTTTTTTTTTTTCTTCTTCATGCTTCTTTTTTCTTCTGCTTTTTATGTTCAATAAAAAATAAAATTAAAAAAGTATCATGCAAAAAACTGCCATAAAAAGAGTTTTTTCATATATATAGAGAGATATACAATATTAAGGAAAATATTAAATAATATTAAAACAGAATATAATGTGATAAATCTGTTTGCAGATGGCATACATATTTTTGTTGAAAATCCTAAAGGAGATTTAACTATAGCCATGAAAATTAAATATATGTAATGCAGTACTGATTTAGAAGTTAATTTTGATACATCATCCGCTATATTTTTTAATCTTAATAACAAAAATAATAGAGATGGTTTCAGTAATCTACTGGACTTCATGCTGGACTGGGTGGACTTAAAAAGATAATCTAAACTGGTATAATCAATGTAGGTATAGTCATGATAAAGAATTGATACCAATTAAGGAAATGTAACTTCTTCACGTTGCAGGTTAAGCTGCAGAATTTCTATGCCTAAACCAGTTGGAAATGAAGCTGGCTTAAGAAGTCCCTTTCCAGATTTCATCTCTTTCTCCCAGTTTGGCCATTATGATGGTCTGTTGTTCTGTCCAGACCATGTTTACCATGGCCTCTAATTGCTGGATTCCTCTGCTTCTTTATCCCTACTAAATCAGTAAAACATCTCAGTGTTACTATTTTTCCTATCATTTCAGCTAGAAGGGGAAAGTGACAGAAGTCTTGTCAATTTCACCTAGTCAAAAAAAGAGGGGGGAAAAAAGACATGGTTTTACTGTTCTATCAGGAAAATGGTTTTTTAAAAAGCCCAGCTTTTCACTGTCCTACCGGTTAAAGAAACTGGTAGTGGAGGCCAGCAACCAGTGAGTGGAGGGAAGGCAGTGTTCTAACCATAGAGCATAATAACCAAGTAGATAGAGGTGTTTGCCTACAATGAAATGAAGCACAACAAGTGAGCCAGACAACATCATGTCCCATAGCAGAAAAAAAGTGAACAAAGGTTTCCTTAATGATGGGCCAGGGTTAAAGAGAGGATAATATCATGCATTTCTATTCTCAAGAAACAGTAAGTGGCCCTTACTCACATTAAAGCACATAGATCAGCACCACAACTCTCTTGGGTGCAAGATTAAAATTTAGGTCACAACAACATATTTTGCTTTCATTGCTTCTTGATTCCATTCTCCCTCCCACCCATTTTTCCAGTCCTACCACTGAAAAAAGTCACTATTTTTTGGCGATTGAGCATGCTCAGTCCTTATTCTATTGCTTTGGCCATGCCTAAACATTAAAAAATAGAGGTGAAAATATTCAGCAGAGAGCAAGTTGAACATTCAGTTTTCATATGGCCCTTCAACAAACATCATGGAAGAATTTTTAAAGTACCATTCCTAACCATTCAGAAAGGAGGGATGTGCAACACTTTGGATTCCAAGGACAAAAGGTGCTTTAGAGCACGCAGGGGCATCAAGCAGCACCTCTCAACAAAGCAACTGCTGCTTTTCCCAGAACGGCATGGCTGCCTTTTGTGGCTACAGAGCAATCCTGGGGAAAATTGCATTTGTTTCAAGGCAGCAGCTATAGGTGCAATTCTTATATGCATTCTGAAGCATCTTTTCTTCTTCAAATTGGAAGTGTTGCATAGCCCTATTAGTAAAAAAAAGAAAAAGAAAGAATCCATTTTTTTAACATGTGTTCTTTATTACTTAGATTCCAAACCCAGACAGTGTAACAAAAGGAAACAATATGATAAACATTTGTATTCTGGTAGCCATGTAATTCCAAGCTACTTCTATTGAAGCACTGAGTGGCAAGACTGATCCAGCAAGCGTATCATTTAACTTGCATGAATACTATCATGGACCATTCTTCACACAGCTGTATGCACACTTACCTCCTTGTGGTTTCTTTTGAGGCAGGCCAACTCCTCTTGGAGATTGTCAGCTTGCACATGCAAGCTAGCTCGACTTGCATTCAGTTCTTCAAGGGCCTTGCGTAGTCCCCCAAGGTCTCCCTCCATAGACAGGCGCAGAGCTACCTCAGATTCCAGCCTACAAAAGGCAGAAGGGTCCACACAGCACATTTCTAGCTATGGCTCTCTATGACTACATAACTGAGAGAGCACCAAATGCTTGAGTCACTAGCATTTGTTGTTGGGGGCAAGGATCTAGGCCCTTGAGCAAAAAACAGTGGTCCTACCCAGATCTCCCCTAGTTACATCTCTCTTGGCTTCAGTTCAGATTATATTAAATCTAGGGACAATTAAAGAGACAACAAGAAAGAAGATTATCCCCCATTGCTCCTGCATACAATCCAAAGATACTAGTCACAACTTCTGTTTTGAAGCAATTATACAAAACCCACACACATTGCAAATCTCTGGATTTCATGTTCCTTTCCTAAAGTTCTAATCACTGTACTCTACAAGTAGCTTGACTGGCAGTTAAGGTTCTAGATTAAAGAACAGGACAATGAAAGTGTCAGTTCTTCAAGGTAGCCCAGATCAGGAAACAGACTCCACAGGTTTGACTAGAACTATACTTTATTGATATAGGTTTTAGTAACAGCATCTTGAAAGCATGACTGTTTTTTTCCTTCCTTCCCTCTTATACCTCAGTGAACTAGGGTGGAGCCAGTCTGAGCTTCTTTCTCATGCTTTCTCTGTTTCCCAAGCTTAAAGCGTACTTTTCTTTTTGTAACTGTTTCTGATACAGTATTTTCTCCAAGGTCGTCTCTGTGGCTCTCTACTGGAAGAAAGCTATGGAATATGTAAGGTCCTCATGAGGTCCAATTTGTAATTAATGATGGAAAACCTGCCTAATTAGATGTCCGCAGAACATGCAGAAATCAAGATTTCCTGACTTAATTACAGATATAATGCCATATTTAGTTCTGTTTTGGATACCCAGTCAATATTAGCAGATCACACATACAAGATTGGCACTGACTGTAATTTATTAGCAATACTTTACTTAAACGGTCTCCCAAAAGCTGAACAACTGGATCAGAACAAAAGTTTCTTTAAATAACTGAGTACATTTGCAAACTAACATTGATAAAAGGCTTTGGGGTGATTTATATTTAATATCTTGCAAGCCAGCCTTGGGAGACTCCAGTCCACATGCTAGTCAGCCTTGCAAAATGAGAATCTTAGTATTTATGAACAGACTAGAATTACAGTAAACGGATATGGAGTCCTCAGAGTGGCACTTAGGAGCACCAGCATGCTTATGGACACACCCTTTGCCTCCCACTAGGTTATCTGCTCTATCTGGTTTGTGCATTTTAATCTAAAATACACACTTTTGTACATCTTCCTTTGGCATTTTTTTTCTGAAAAGTATATACAATGCTAAATGCCAAGGATAACTATATTCGGATCAACATATCAATAAAAGAAGTGTGAAACTGTCTGATTTGCTTTAAAATGTAGACCAGATTAAACGATGAGCATCCCTGCATAGAATTCTAATCAGTAATTTGAGTGAGTCATCTTAATTCTTTCTTGTTGGTGATACCTTTTCAATACTAAAATTTTCTTTAAGGGCACAGCCAGTCAACCACACTAATGTGCTGACCTCTAGTCTGTGAGCTGGTAGAAAAGTATGTCACCATCAATGATAAATGATAATTGAATGAAAAGGTTCTATCTAATTATCACTTCACAAATTCCTTTTTGCAGCCTGCAGAGCAAGCAACCCAGGCTTTGCTTGTTATCAGCTGTAATGGCTGATCACACAGAGGGGAAACAATTTAACCATGTTTTGACCTTGCATCTATTACCAAAATTGTTCATAAAAAAAAAAAAATCATTTAATGTTCACATCATGTCAGGATGCCAACAAATGAAAACACAGGTACATGGTTAATTTAAAAAAAAAAGTCAGGAAATATGGTCATGTATGCGATGTAAAAGTAAAAGACGACACTGATTAACTGAACTTACTTCACCCTGAAATCAGCAGCAGCAAGTCTAGCATTATCAATCTGTAAGAGCAGTCCAGCATTTTTCAAGGTCTCCTTCTGAATCTACCGAAAAAAAAGGAGAGAGAGAGGTAGGACTTCAAAACATCATCACAAAGAACACCATTTAGCAAGGAAATTTGTGAGATTGCCAAATAAATGAACTCATCTAGCCAAATCTGGATAATGACAGTGCAAAACTCCAGGGAAAGACACGGGCACAATATTTGATTCCTGTAACAAAATGTAGAAATGCAAATTTGTCCCTTAAATTTTTTTGTTTTTAATTTCTAGAAACCTCAGGAATTTCACATCAGCATGATGGTACTTTCCTCTGAGTGCAGTTTTATGACACAGCCAGCAATTTTGTGAGACAGAATGAAACCACCACCTCAGGAAGCAGATGTTGAGGGCCAAAAATTGATAGAATTTCACATGCCATGTGTCCAACTCTTTGCCCTTAAGTAGTCTCCAACTTCAGCTGCAGTAGAGGACAAAACAGCATGACTGTGATGTAGAAGTAAAATTCAACTATCAATCTGTTCAGCTATCAATCTGTATATAGAATGGGGAGCCATCATCTTGATCTCTACCTCAAAAGCAAAATATCTTGAGCCAGTCCTGTTTCGTGTCACTAACACATCCTATCTCTAATTATGGATACTCTAACAGGAAAAAATAGAAAACCATTTCAACATAACACCTCGGACTTCAGCTGGGTCATGGCATTAAAATAGTCACTCAGACCGTGGGTACCAGCTGATGCTCGTTTCATATAGAACTCTTGGATATTCTGCTCCAGTTGCATGTTAGATTTCTCAAGGGAGAGCACCTGTTTTGAGGAAAAGAAAGCGAAATTTAATTAGAATATCAGAATAAAAAACAGCTTGCAGAATCCTAAAACCACTAGATATGCGCTGGCTGTTTGACTTTAAGTATCATCACTAGAAGGGGCTACTGTTAGCTGTGGAGATGGACAGACGGACAGACTTCCCTAACTGGTGCCCTCAGACTTCCAGAATCCCACTCTCATACAGCCAATATTAATGATTAGGTTTAAGAAAGTTGAATTACGGGCAGAAGCAAATCAGTCCCTCCTTCCTTCTGCCATTCCTTCCTTCCTTGATCTCACCTTTAATATTCTATACATTCTCAGAACTGGCATAGGTCCTTGGCCAGTTCCTCACTACAACCTATAGCATTTTCTCAAGTCATTGAACTATTGTTGTGTTGATGTAACTGAAAGGAGAACAGGCTTTATTTTGCTCCAGCAATGGCTGGTTGATGTTAGAAGACATCGTAAATCCTCAGTGAGGAAATGGCTTTAGTCAGTTTGATAGGAGTTGATACACACACACACACACACACACAGAGTAATTAATCCTGCAATTATCTTTTGAGCAATCCTGGATTGGTTCCATTCAGGAAATTTGGATGTAGAAAGAATGACAATGGGAATACCTGGGCTTTTTAAAACCACCAGAGGGAACAGAAATGTGGGGCATGAAAACTGGATGCCTTCAAAAGTCATATGGGCGGAATCCACTAAGACAGCCTTCCTAAATGATTGGCAACTCAGAAAGTTACAGTCTTAAAACCTCTGGAAGGTACCAGATGGGGGAAAGTTGTTGTAGGAAGCTCATTTGCACAGTTGCACATGTACTGTATTTAAATGAATAAAAGCTGTGTAATACTGCTCTCGGCTAATCACACGATCGCTGCCATGGAAGGAATTAGAACTGTTTCTGTTCTGCTCTGCTCTGTCTTGTTATGTCTCAAGTCCGAAAAGAAAAGTCATGTTAACTTATCCTGATGCATAGCATGGTCCCATGTTCCCATACTGAGTGAAAGAAGATGGATGACAATCTGTTCAGTTATTTCTGCTGTGGAGGACTAGTTATACTTCAGAATCCTCTATTTTCTCTGTTAAATATCCTGGCTTTTTAATTATTGTCTCTTTATATTAATCCTTGTTTAGAATTATAGTTCTTAAAGAAGGCTCATAAATTGACAGAAGTGTCAAGTTGGAGATAAAAACAGAAGTTCTAGAAGAGCTAAACAAGACATTCTAATTTTGTGCAGACAGAGAATAACAACTCAGTGGTAAGAGGATAATTCTGTCCTGGGTGTTGTCATACTGTCTAATGACATGTTGCATCAAACTGCAATCAAACCATGTCTCTGTGATACCAGACATATGGAGTTCAGGGAAACTTACACCTCCCCTCCTCCCACAAAAAAAGATGGTATTTCAGGCCATGTAAAACAGCAATGACTGGCCATTGCAAATAACCTACAATTAATCACTTCCTATGCTAGCTCCCAAATCTTTTGAATTCAACGTCTCACAACTTTCTGACATCACAATATAAAGCAAAGAAGATAAATCTTGTATAAGTAAAACAGGTTTTTTCCCCACAGAAATCACCAGAGTACAGACTGGGCCATATTCGTTCGTAGAAATGTATTTATTTATCGTTAATCCATAAGTTCAAATAGCCACCACCATTCTGTGTACTCAACTACCACTGCTGCACTGTGAAAACTATTCTCCTTCACATGAGCATGAGGTTTTCTGGTAGAAGTAGCAGGTTTGGGGTCAACAGCAGATGTATGGGGGAGTGTTGTCTTCGGAGTCCCATGAGGTCTGATTTTGCTGTTAATACTCCTGTTTTCTTTTTCTCTTTTATTGTTATGCTGTGAGCTGCCCAGGATTATTGTATATAAGATGGGTGGCCATATAAGTCTCCTCAATAAATACAACAATTAAGTAAAGCAGATCAGAATGCCTCAAGTTAAAGAAACTCCCACGCCCTGTCAGATTCCCAGTCTAGATCAGGCACTTTGTTATTTTTTTTTAAAGTACATTACTAATAAATTGCATTCAAAGTGTCTTGGCCCTTATTCAGCTCTGCAAGGTTAACCCCTGTGTATTCCCTTGGCATGCCTGAAAGCCACAAACAGATAGAACATTTTGCAACACTGCTGATAGAAAGGAAGAAAAACTCTGACAGACTGTTGGTCTTTGACTCCATTCTTCTCTTCCTCTTATCCTCTCCATTCAACACTCTTCTCTAGTTTTCTATCAAACACTGTCTTTCCTGCGGGGAGGATGGGATATGAACTAATAATTTATCTAAACATTTATCGACACCTTTCCTTCACCACTGAGCAACTGGACATGGTCCCACATGAAGCTTCCTTCCAGAAAAAATGGTAGAAAGTTTCTCACGTAGACAAGCATCTTTCTTGTCAAGTACCAGTCCTGTATCTTTAATCTCCCACATTCCAGAAGAATGCCGTAGGTAGGTAGGTAGGTAGGTAGGTAGGTAGGTAGGTAGGTAGGTCGATACATACATACA